ACCGGGGCCTGCGGAAAGACGAGGATGGAGAGGATGGGCAAGGGGAAAGCTGGGGCTTTTGTGGATCGCACATGCGGAGCGGTGGGGGGTCCCAGTTCGCCCTTCTCTTAGGTTCTTACATTAACACCATGATGGGGGAGGGGGTGTCGCTCCTGGCCATGTCAGCAATGGGAATGTGGCAGTTGCTTTGTCTTAAGGGGCCGGGCCTGGTCAAGGGCCCAACCGAGGAACATCCAACCTGTGGCTTTGGCAGGAGTTCTTTTTTAGAATAGCCTCCAAGGCCAGCCCCAGAAATACTGAATGACGGCAGTCCAGCCTTGATGTCATCAGGGGATGGGTGGCTCTGGCCAAGCGGGGAGGCGGGGTGGGAAGCCTCCTAAAAGCATTCCAGCTGGATTGAAGGTCAGAGGAAGGGAACCCAGCACCCCCCCCTGCCCCCCTCCTTCCAGCAAACGTGGCCGTTGAGCTGCCTGTGAGCAGAAGCCGCTCCGGCTTCCTGCAGCCACCGTCAGCCATTGGTGCCATACCATGTACGGCTGCCATTGGATCCCCAGCAAATATTTTGAATGCATAAAACAATCCCCTGACATGAGCTTTGTTAGCATTGGCAGGGGAGCCGCAGGGGAGGGGGAGGGGAGGCTCCTTGGGTCCCAGAAGAGGGAGAATCCATTAACTCTGCTTAGAGGAGGAGGAGGAGGAGGAGGAGGAGTCACTGGCCGGAGTTGCAGTGCAGACACAAAGCCAGCCGGTTAAGGGAGCCAGGGAGCCCCCTCCCCCTCCGGCTGGAAAAACAGCATCCCCCCCCCACCCCCCTGTCCTGATCCGAGTCAAGGAAGGAGAATTTGCTTTGCAAGGCTTTCAGGAAAGAGACTTGGGGTGGGGGAGCTCTTGCCTTGATTTAGTGATGAGACGGCCAAGAGGTGGAAAGGAGGGGTCCCCTCTGGAAGTGCGGTCAACTACACTGTGGCGGAGGGAGTGGGGTGTGAAAGCCCCTCCCCCCCGGCCCAGGACTCCCAGGACTGCTAAAGGCCGCTAAAGCCTCTTGAAGAGAGCAGCAGAAAGCCTTTTGCCCGGTTATGGGGCAGAAGCCCTCCCGGATGGCTCCCTCGGATGCCATCCCTCTCCTCCTGAGGTGGGTGGCAGGACTGGGTTACTCCTGCAGGGGGGGAAGAGAAGGTCCCCCATTGCCAGCGCTCCTCAAGAGATGGGAAGATGGCCGTTGTCAGGGTAACCGCAGGTATCTCTTCAGCCCCCGCTCAGCAGGAAGGCGGTGAAGCTCTGAGTCGCCATGGAGGAGGCGAGGGGCAGCCCCACGGGCACCCAGATGCGCCTGGGGCTCCATCTCCTCCGGAGGACAACCTGAATGAGATCTGCAGGTTATGCAGGCAGAGTTTGGGGGGGGGAATGGTCATTGGCTCCCCCATGTTTTTGGCCATGAGATGGGATGCTGGCCAAATGCACGAGTCTGGCTCCAGGTGGGACCCACCTTGGCTGAGGGCAGCCGAGAGAGGCTTGGGGGGGGGGCGTTGTGGGTTGGACTGGGCTGAGTATGGGTCTCCTCCTCTGACTGGGGGTTCAGCACACCTCACTCCCCCTCTACCAAACTGCCCGTTTCCCACAACTTCCAAGCATAAGCGAGCCAAGCAGCACTACGGAGCGAACCAAGTGCCAGACTGGCCCCGATCCAGACGGCAGGCTTTCCGGAGCAAGATGACTCTGGCACAGCTCCACTCTTGGGGAAGAGGGCAGGGCTGGCATCTCTGGGGCTTCAGCAGAAGCTGGTTAAGAGGTGCACGAGGTGGCTGCCCTGTCCGTCTTTGCAAGGTGTGGGGAGAAGGGCAGCCCCCTGCCAACTGCCTGCCAGGAATACCCACCTGATTTATCGTTAGCATTTTAAGCAATTGGTCGATTGATAAATTACATCTAAACGCACGTTCTGTGTATTGCCCACAGAGGGGGAAACGCGCAGGTTGGGAAAAGAGCCGATCCGGCCTCGTGCCAGTTACACCCACCTTGTCTCGCCCGTCCCTGGCATCCTTCAATGGGGAGAGCCTGGACAAAACCTGAACTTGATGTATTTTCATTTAATCTCATGTAAGCTTAATTAAAATGGAATTAGGCAGTTGATGTGATTACTCCCCTGTGCATTCGATAATTTTCACTCTTGTATCCATCATTAAGTGCTGCCGTTTGTGTCACCCTTGCAGGGGTTGCACGCACTGGGGGGGGCTAGGGACCCTGCCAGCCAGTGAGCAAAGGGGTGGTAAAGCTCACAGCGCCCAACAGAAGACCAAGAGAAAATGGAGCCAAGGGATGTGCCCTCCTTGTAGTGCAGGATCCCCAAGCCCTGGTCTGTGGATTGCCACTGGACCGCGGCATGCCAAAAAACCGGGCTGTGCAAACAAGCGAAGCCCCATCAGTGGAATGCAGGCAGCACGTGGAACCATGCCTCCTCCGGTCCACGGAAAAGCCTCCCTCCACCCAGCCTGTCCCCGGTGCCCAAAAGGTTGAGGGCCACTGTTGTCATGCATTGTGTGATGTGGGCCGTTTCCATCAGCCGCGACACACTTTCCTTGCATAACTTTTTGTGTTGGTGCAAGGCTGCATTTCCACAAAACCCCAACCTTTGCACATTATTCGAACGCAGCCGGTGGGTCTTTTGTGACTGGGTTCAGCGTGTTGTGTGAATACTTTCCTGACTGAAGTTCAGTGTTATGGTGGTGTGAGCCCAGACTGGGAGAAGTGCTTTCTCAGGCATAAGAACTGCAACCGTTAGTCCTACCTTGAACTCAGCCTAGCTTATCGAAGCCTTGGGTGAGATTTAGCAACCTTGCTCGAGTCTCGGAAAATGCAGATCAGGGTTACATTTAACAGGGTCTCACATGATGCTGGTTAATAGCGTAGGCCTCCTAAGTGGGGGAGGGGGGTTTTCTTCTGCCCCATGCAAAAAGACCCCCTTTAAAGGCCGGGAGGATTCTTTGCAGCAGTAGCTGCTCCTTGAGGCGGAGCCCCTTCCAGGGCCAGCTGTGGCTCTTCCTCTGCCAGCCTATGGCCCCAGGGCAGGGAACCCGCTGCCAGCTCCATGGTGTGGGCATCTTGCTGCCAACCATTGACTGGCCCTATGCTAGCTGGCCACTACAAAGCGTTTATGGTATATGAGTTATTATGATTAATTATATTGGGATTAAGATGGTTGGAATTCAAAGGCAGGTTTTCATCACGCGGCCTGGGCCCACGTGGGTCAGTCGAGTGGGCTGGCAGGTGTGAGAGGGGTTGTTGTTGTTGTTGGTGGTGGTGTAGCATTCCTCAACTTAGGTTTTGACCAATCGTGCAAAGTTCAGAAACCGTAGTTCAGTGAACTTTTAACTGATTGCAATCTTTGAATGTTGTTGTTTTGCTGTGACTTTGTGCGATGTGTGAATTCGGCCTCAATAGATGAGGAATTGTGGTTTGTGGCTTCTTTGCATTTTTATGGCAGTGAAGTCCTCGTCCGAGTTGCTGCATTTCACTCTGGTCTAATCCGCCCTCCGAGCAACCTCGAGGTTTGGGGCAACCTGTTCTGAATGGATTCTGCTCCAAGGGGAGAGGGGAGGAATCCGAGGGGGCGGCAGCACGGGTGAAATCCAGCAGGTTCTGACAGGTTCTGGAGAACCAATAGCGGAAGTTTTGAGTAGTTCGAAGAACTGGCAAATACCGCCTCTGGCTGGTCCCAGAGTGGGGTGGGAATGGAGATCTTGCACACCCACCAAGCCACGCCCACAGAACCGGTAGTAAAAAAATTTGCATTTCACGGGGTGGGGGTGGAAGGAGGATTCCGGGTCAGGTGATCACCATTTGTGACCTTCCCAGCCAGCTTGCAACAGGCAAAGTCTGGGGGTCACTCAACGATTGTGTGATTCACTTAACAACCATGGAAAAAAGATCCTAAAGGTCCTAAAATCGGGCATGGCTCACTTACCTTGCTTAGCAGTGGAAACTCTGCTCCCAACTATGGTCATATGTAGAGGACCCCCTGCCCTGCCTCTGCTGCAGAGACCCTTCCTGAAGGGGTGGGGTCTCCAATGTCTTAATTTCAGGACCCAGCCTCGGGCTGTGCGACCCAACCCTTATGCTGTGTGAACCCAACAACCCAGGTTTCTAACCCCGGTGGAATCAAGGCCGGTTAACTTTTGTTCAGGGAATTCTGGAAACGGAGGATTTGGTTTAGCGCGTTGTGTGAATTCAGCCAACCGAAGCTCACCAGCTCACCGGGGACCGTCGCGATGTGCTGATGCAGGCCCTACCGAACGGGCACCCCGGAAATTCACGGGGCTGCCACCGGCGTGGAGACTTCCCTGCCCGGCGCCGGGGGCTGGGCTCCGGCCTGGAGGGGCCGCAGGGGCTTCGCTACGGGCAAACGGGGGGGGTCTCTGCTGCGTCATCGCCGGGAATGGCCGCGGCAGCTTCCCTTCGCTGCTCCCGACGAGGCTTCGGAGAAGCGGAGGAGCTCCGAGTCCGAACCGGCCAGCCGCGCTCTCGCTCCCCTCCGCGGCCCCGAGCTCCGGGCGCACCGCGCGGCTGTTCCGAGCGTCCGGCCCGACCCCGACCGGCCGCTGCTGCGCCTGCCGCCTTTCCCGCGGACTCCTCCGGCGCCCGCTCGGGGCGCAGCGCCACCCCTGGCCGGTGAGGTCGAGCCGCAAAGGGAGCCCAGCCTCGGGGCGTGGGGGGGGGGGTGGCGGCCGCTGCTCTGGCCAGGCCGGAGGAGGAGCCGCGGCGGGGCGGGAGGAGCCGGGGGCGGGGCGGCCGGGCAGCTCCTCCCCCCCGCCGCGCTTCCTCTCCCGCCGACGCCTCCCGCCCCGGCCGCGCTTCTGCCAGCCGCGCCGCCGGCCTCGGGAGCAGCCCCAGCCGCCGGGCGGGCGGGCGTCGCGGCCCCGGGAGCGGCGGGCGGAGACGGCGGGGCCCGGCGCGCCATGCGGCGGCTGGCTGCAGCGGCTAAGCCTGCCGCCTTGTCCCCCCCGCAGGCCAAGATCGCCGGCATGATGGAGGGGAACCAGCAGCTGGCGCTGCGCATCGACGGAGCGCTCCAGGCAGCCGGGCAGGAGGTGAGCGCCCTGCGAGCCGAGCTGGGCGCCGCCAGCCGCAGACTGGCCGAGCTCAGCGCCGACGGGCCCCCCTGCGCCGTCGAGATGGCCGCGGGAGGAGGCGGCCCGGACCCCGCGCAGCCCAGCTTGCAAGGTAAGCGCCGTCCCTACGGAATGGACGGGGACAGGGGGAGGCGGGCGGGCACGGGGGCTGCTCTGTGCGCGGGGCGCCCGTCTCTGCGCCGCGCTCTCGAGAGGAGCTGCGGGCGACCTGCAACCGGGCGGGGACTCTGCTCGCGGGCGGCTCCGCTCGGCCTGGCGAGCTGCGGGTTCGCTGCTCGGGCTGCCTCCCTCCCTCCTTCCTTCCTGGCTAGCGGCTCTTCCCCGCTAACCTGGCCGTTGGCCGAGAGAGGCGGCGGCGGGGGCGCGCGGGCTCCGCCGGGCTGGTGGGAGAGATCCCGCCGGGGCCGGTCCTGGACCTCGGGTGTTCCGGCAGAGCGGCCGGGCTTGCGGGGGCCGCGGAGCCCCCTTGCCTAGGGGTGCCCGGGAGGGCGGCATCGGAGCGGCCTCCAAGGCGGGGGGCTCTTCGGAGGGAGAGCCAGGAGCCCTCCGCGGGTGGGGGGAGGCCGGGAATTGTGCAGAGAAGGGTTGACGCGATGACGTCATGGGGCGCGGGGCTCTGGGTGGAAGCGGCGGCAGCATCTGGCTACTTGCTCCCCCCCCCAATGCCCGTGGGGTATAAGGGACCAACGTGCAGAGAGGAGCGGCTGGGGAAGCGGTTGGGAGGTGCAGGGTGGCCCCCTTCCCCGCCCAGAACCGGGAAGGGCCTGCCCGCTGAATTGTGAGGCGTTCTTGCTTGGAACCGAATTCAAGGATCTGTCTCTCCGCTGTTTATCTTTCTAGTAACAAGTCTGAATCTGCTTAGGAAATCGCCTCTTCCTGGGATTTGCGGGCGGGTGGGAGGACTTGGCAGATGGAGCCATGAGGGCGTCTCGGCTGGGGCTTCTCGGGGAAGCTTGGCGGCAGCGTTGTAAAAAAAATGTGTGTGGGAGAGTGATTGGTGTCCATGGAAAGCAAACCAAGGAAATGGTTGTGGAGCTAACGGAAGGGGGAAGAAGAAGCTGAGCCCCCTCGCACAAGATGGGGATCCACCTCAGAAATCAGCCGAAGCAGGAGAAGGGGCGCTCTGCTGGGGGAGACTCCCTAGTGCCGCTGAAGGGGGTTAAGGAGGGTACGACCCCCTGCAGGCTGGCATCACCCGACCATTCCTGAGGTCTGCTGCTCTGTGCCAGGGCCCGTCAGCACCCAGAAAACTGCACGTGTGGGAGGGAGGTGGTGGGGCAGGCCAGGCGTGGCCTTCAGGGGCTCCAGTCCCTCCACTGAGCCTGTGGTGCATAGTTGGTGGGAGGGGAGGTTCAGCAGGCCTGGGAAAGGGGTGGTCTTTGCAGGTCCAGCCCTCTGCGGGGGTCTCGGACCTTTCCCCAGGGGGTTGCCAGCAATCTTGGAAGGAAGTTGTCTGCTGCTGCCTTTGCCAAAAAGGGTACCGGTCTCTTCCTGTTCCAAGCGCTGGAGGGGGCTTTTCCACCACAGCAACCCAGGAAGCCTCTTCCTCCTTAACCTCCATCATTTGCTGCAGAAAAGGCTGAAGCATTTTAGTACGGATGCACTCTTTATCTTTTCTTAATTGCCTGTTCAAAATCGGACAGGCTGCCTCCCAAGGGATGGGGGCCCTCACTTTTTCCCAATGCTTTTTTAAAGGGAAAAGAGAGTTGGGAAAGGTATCACATGTGCCCCCCCTCCCCCCAACCAAGGCAGAGACTCCTGGTTAAAGGTTGAATCTGGAAAGAGGTTCAAATCTACTGCCCTTAGGAGTCACGGGCAAAGGCCCACATGTTGCCAATTGGCAGCTCTTCAGGTCCCTGCTCTGAAGTTTGGGGGCCAGAACTGACCAAGAGGAGGCCTAGAAACTCACCCTTCCAGCCTTGCGAGGTAGGATGAGCTCCATTATCCTACTCTGCCTTTGTTCTTGATGTTTCCATTTGGTGTAAGGAAAATGGAGAAGTAGCTCTGTCAACCTCTTTCCAGGGAGAAGGGCATTTTGGGGTGGGGGAGGGGAGGGGTTGGCTCTCGGGAATGATCAGGTGGCCAAGAATATCCTGCCACTCGGCACAAAACCATCCGCCCGGAATTCCACCCTTCCCTTCCGCTGGATATCCGAAGGGAAGCTGCGTTCTGACCGCTCAGAAGCGTCTTCCTCCATTCCGGCCTCTGTTACGGAGAGGAAGTCTGCCTGCCTGTGAAGAGAGGTTTCTGCTTTGCAGGGAAGGAGGGAGAAAGGATTGGTGACTGGCAGGCAGGGAGGGGGCAGGTGTCTCCCAGCCCCCTCCCCCTTCCTGGGGCCCAGGGACACTCCTGTGGCGGGGGCTGCCCTGTGCCTCTTCTTGCCCTTCCTTGGTGAGCCAGGCTTCCCTGGCATGGGCACCTTGAAACAGCCTGACTTCAGGTCAAGCTGCCGTTTGGTTTGTGAAGGGTGGACTTAGCCTGCTGTGTGACCCTGGCCTGGGCACTAAGGCCTTTGCCAGCCCCTGTAGGGAAGCGCTCGTCTTGTGCAAGAAAAGGTTCCCCCCCTCCCCTAGAATTTGAGTCTGGGGAATTGCTGTTTTTCCTAAAAGCTGGGCCAAGCTGGGCATTGAACTGCAGCTGGGCACCAACGGTTGGGGGTCTCTGGAAGCTGCAACAGAGGCTCTTTCAAGGCCAATTACAGGTGGTCTCAGGTGGCCCAGCTGAGCTCTTGACCACTCCTGGCCTGAGAAGTGCACCTGCACCAGTCCCAAGTGGCTGCCCTCAATCCACTCCTCCTCACCCATCCACCCCCGATCCAGCACAACGGGAGTGGGCAATTACATTTGGATCCTTGCTGCTTTGACTTCCTTTCTTCCTGGGTGCGTAAGGCTGTGATGATCTGGAGGGGGGCTCAGGAGTGTCAGGAGCCAGGCCTAAAGAAAGATGAGGCTGCTTTAAAGCAGGGGTCACCAACCTTTCGGATCTCAGGGACCACTAAATTCATAATTTTAAGTCCCGTGGACCACTAATACGAATTTTTTAATAAAGATAAATAGTATTTAGTGCAATATAAAAAATGCAAATAATTTTTCTGGGGACCACCAAAATTTTCTCACGGACCACCAGTGGCCCATGGATCACCACTTGGTGACTGCTGCTTTCATGGGTATATAGCCCATGTCTGCTAGGAGGCGTTTCCAGCTTTTGGGCCAAGAGTTCAACTTGAACGGCTTAGCCGTTTCACAGGTTGTGACCATCGTGGTTTGTGGACCCTGCAAAGCCCTTGACCTTCACTTCTGGGTTGCAGCGACTGCATTCAACACAACCAAAGCTTGTGCCAGGACCTTCGCACAGGGGTCTCCTCTGTAATGTCTGAAGTGGCTCTTCTGACTTGGAGGGAGGGAGACAATTGAAACGGGGGCTTTTCCAGGGGATGCCTGTATTGCCGTTCCTGTTTTATTGCCGCTCTTCCTATTGTGGCTGCTTTGTAGCAGCTGGACCAGGAGAAAAAGTTGCCACCATTGGCTTTTTTTGAGGGGGGGGAGGGGGACATCTCGGCGTTGGCATCTTGTGTCTCTGGGAAAGCCTGGCACTCTGGCGCGGCGACTTCGCTAACAAGATACTTTGAAGGGGTAAACACAGCCTGTTAATTAAATTTGCGGGCCATGATTAAATTGGAAGCAGTTGCAAATATGGGAAGGGGAAGTTCAGCATGGAGAGGTCAGCCTGGCGTGGCGTCTGTCAGGGTTGTGTTGATCCTGCAAATTCCTTTTTTGCCCCGATGGGAATCAGGGCAGAGAGCAGTTCATTGGAGGACGATGGGATCTGTAGTCTGTTTGCTTTGAGATATTTGGCTGGGGGAGGCAGGGGTGGTGCATTAATACAGGATTGAGCTGTTCTCCTAGGACAGACCTTGATTCCAGCCTATTCTTGCTGCCGTTGGTTTAATTTAGAGGCCAGCCTGCATTTTCCGGTTGTCTCAAAAATCCACCCTGCAGAGTCCTGTTTTCCAGGAAAGAACACATCTGTGTATCGAAACGTAAAAAAAAGCCAAGAGCGTTTTTTGTTCCAATCTAAAACTGTTCCTCTTTGAACCCCTTCCCTTTTTTGAAGTGTAATAGAAACCTGGCACGCCAGCCTGTAATTAAACGGGTGTGTGTTCTCTCTCTCTCTCTCTCTCCCCCCCCCCCAGAGGGAGGGCTCTGAGGGAAGGAAGCGTTTATGTCTTCTGAGGAGATACCCCACTAAAAGGGAAGAGTGCACGGAAAAGATACCACACGGTGATTTATTTCCTTTGAGGAGGCTGAACTAAAATCACCAACATGATTATGAAAAAGAAATGGGGGGTGGGTGGGAGGGGAGAGAGAAAAAAGAAATGTTTTGTATTTAGTTTTAATCAGTAACTAAACTTGACATATTTCCTTTGGGTTGCCCTGAATCTACTCTCCCCTTTTTCTCATAAAAATCCTCCACAGCCATCTGAGGGGAGGCGGGGGGGGGGGGGGGGGGGGCTTTTATCTTGAAGAATAAATATGGGGGGGGGGGGCCAGGGAAGATCCTGCTCAGCAATGGTGGGTTCCTTGGGGGGGAGGGCAAATCCATTTTCTTCAGGCAGGGGCTGTGAATGGCAGATAGGGAAGGGACTCCCCAAGGTAGGTTGGGCTAGGCTTTGGAAGTGGGGGGCAGGTGGGGGGATTCCTGCCTTCCTCCCTTTGCCTATTTGGCCCAAAGAGGAGCAGCAGCCAGACGGGCTGGGAGACTTGAGGTCCAAAATAGTCTGGATGTTTGGCTGTGAGATCAGGGAAGTCCCTCCTTCCTGCCCACCTCTTGCCCGGGAACCAAGTCTCCTGCCAGGGTGGCCACGGACATCAGGGCATTGAGGGTTGGAGAGGGGGCTGTTAGGGGCAGCTCTCTGTGGTTTTCCCAGCCAGGCTCAAACAGCACGTGGGACCCTCGGGAAGGAGGTGTCCAGCGGGTCATGGAAACTTGCAAGGAAGAGGTGCACATCCTTGATCTGTGGCCAAAAGCTGGGAACCGAGCCATCCCTGTTTGTGCCTCAGGACGTGGCTGACCCATGGCGGCCATGGAGGG